AATACATTAAATAATGAACACAACTTACGGATCCTGATATTATTAATGGTTTTCTTTTATTTGACTTTTGGTACAACTGTATTCGCTGCTTCATTTGTATGCCTAAAGCCCTTATTCTAGAATTATACCATTTGTTCAATAATTACTCAAGAAATATTCTGATAGCAAAGAGAAATGCTGCACATAGAAGTGTTTTATACCTTGTACATGTCCTGTGAAAATATAAGGTATTGTAATTATCTTTCAAGTGATGGAAATCAGAAGTCTTAAGATTTCCTTAGAGTAATACTTACTGATATCCAAATAATCTTGTATTTAATTGCTTAAAAATCATAGTTTATATAATGAGAACATAAATTTTTTTATTTTATGCATGAAATGAGCTATTTGAAATTTATACTAAATAACTGAAACCACCAAGATCATAAGTAAATTACAAAGTATTTTAGTTTACTTTAAAAATTAGCAGCATACATTTTTATACAACTCTAATGAGTCCATTTACACAAATTCTAATCATTTGAAGTTTGTCCATATGTTTAAACTTAGAACTCAAACTATACTTTGTTCATAATTTCGTAAATCAGGAATGTGGGAATGATTCTACTGAGGAAGTTATGGTGACATATCGGCAGGAGCTCTGGTCACCTGAAGGCCCTGGTGGGCTAGACCCGCAAGATGACTCACTCTCCAGGCTTGCGGGGGCGCGGGTGTCCGCTGGCGGTCCTCGGGAGACTGTCAGTGGAAGCGCGGCTGCTGGGCTCTTTCAGCAAGGTGGTAAATTTTGAGGAGGCATTCTCAGAGGCCAGTCATGGAAGCTGGAAGGTGCTTTCTCATCTAGCCCTAAGAGTCATGCGGAGTTACATCCATTGTGTTCTGTTGGTCAAGCAAGTCAGTAAAGCCAGCACAGGCCCAAAGAGAGGGATTAGATTCCATATTTCAGTAGGAACAATAGCAAAGGATTTGTAGTTCTCTGTAATCTATCATATTAGGAATTCTGTATTTATGAATAATTGCTGAATTAGGAAGTAATTGAATTGCATTTTAGTCTTAAAATTTATTATACTTCAATGAAACAGAGGATGTTATAATTATTAAATTTTATATCTTCCTATTTGTGAATAATATGCTTTAAATTAGCACAATATTAAAGTGTTGACATTAGCCTTTATGTTAATGGAATAACCTTATTTTGGCAACCAATAGTATTAAAATCCAGTTAATTCTACACATTAATATGATTTTGAGTTCAACATATCATACTGCCAGATATGTCTGAGAATTTGCCAAGTAAAGTGAGAATATTGTGAGACTATTGCTGTCAGACTTCATCTCAGAGTAAGAACTGGTCAACGGCTTTTGATTTTTGTGTCAAACAGGTACCTCTGTGAATATTGCCACAATAGAATGACTAAACACAAAACTCTGGGTAACTAAGTTTCATTTGCCAAGTCATTCATACATAAGACTTTTAAAAATGGCTTCGGATGACATATGATAAATATTTAATGTTTTTCTATAATTAAATGCAAGTGATATGTTAGCACCTACCTGATTTAAAGCTGTGAAATTCTCTTCTTGAAAAAGTCCCCCAGGAATGAAATTAGATAATTGTGTAAAGTGAACATATTTTTGAAAACCAAGCTTCTTTACAACTTCTATTGGCCAAAATATAGATAAATATTTCATTTTAAACTAATTAATTGACAAAATATAAATTAATATACAAAAATAGTGTTGATAATTAATCAACTGAAACCAATTGCCATTGATCCATGCTGACGCTCAGATTCCCTTTCAATGAAGGATGCACCACCCAACTGCAAGCCCCGCGGTCGGCTGACTGCCTGTATTTATTAGCGACTAATTTAGGGCTTGCCTCAGCTGAAGTCAAGCTCATCTCTGGGTGACCTGAGACAACAAATGAAGTAACACAGCTGAGATCTAGCTCTCTTGAGGCAGTGCCCAAGCAGTAACTGAACAGCAGGGAGTGGTATGAGAGCCTACCCACGTTCCCTCGAGGGGAGATTCTTCTCACAGGCATTCTTGGCTCTGGAGCTTCTCCATCCACTCGCAGAGGATTTGTGAGGTAGGAATCCTGGTCCAGCTGTACCTCTGCCCAATTATGATTCTTCTCCTTTTCTTTTCACATGGATTTACTTTCCAATAGACCTTTTTACACCCTTAACTCCACCTCAGTATTTGTGTCCTGGAGAACCCAACTTGTGACATCTTATTTTATGAAGGGAAGTTTTTTTTTCAAATGAGATATTATATAAAACTTGGGGAATATGAGGTAGCTTATGGTCTGGTTTTACTGTTAACCTCCGCAGAAATGTCCATGGGGCTCAAAGAATCTCAGTCACTGGCACAGAGCCACAGGGCTACTTAGTTAAAGTACTGAGGATTTGATCCTAGATCTCTGACTCTAAGAAACATGACCACCTTCTTACCTACCTCTTAAGCCTGCTAATTTTTCTTTGCATTGTGGAGTGGGCTAAGCCTTTTGCTGTTAACAGTATAACACGTGATATTTAGAATCTATGAAAAGAAATATTTTTAAAAGATGAGTATAAACTCTACCCATAAAAATCCATAATTTATGGAAGAAATAGGATTACTATGAAAGAAAAGGAGCAGAGATAGTGTGTCCCAGTCAAGCTTGTTGTCAGCAAATGAAAGGTGATATTAGTAAATTTGAATCCTATGCTCTATATTATTTAGTGCAGTGGTCCCCAACCTTTTCGGCACCAGGGACCGGTTTCATGGATGACAATTTTTCCATGGACTCGGGTACGGGGATGGTTTCAGGATGTTTCGAGAGCATTACATTCAAGCTCACCTCAAGCTCACTTCCTAACAGGCCCTGAGGTTGGGGACCCCTGGATTAGTGTAAAGTAGAAATTAACCTCATGAGAACAAGAATAAACAAGTATTCTATTTTCTCTAATCCATTAGCTGTTTTCTTCCCTTTGAGCTCAGGTAAAGTTAACAGATTGAGAAAAAGTGAGAATTCTCCTAATGTTTATTCTATTTGTTTGCTAATTTTATGGGAAGAAAAGGTGGATTTGAGCATCTTACGTGTGTCAGTAACAATGTTTGACATTAATGATATGCTAATGAAATAAAGGCATGCCTTAGATATATTGCAGCTTTGGTTCCAGGCCCCTGCAATAATAATAAAGTATCAAAATGTGGAAAGTCGTAATTTTTTTCCTGGTGGAAAGTCTTGCCTTCAATTTATTTTTAAAAATGCAACATCTGTGAAGCTAAATAAAACGAGGTAGGCCTGTAGTTTAGCCACTCAAGAAGGGGAAAGAACTAGTCCCATGAGGCTGCAAAACAAGCAAATAACACTTGAAGTATTAGTATTGTATGGAATGATGTATGACTTAGATGGTATGGAGCATGCCCTCGCCCTCTAGGGATACATAACTCAGGCAACAATGGAAAGCTTCCTAGAGGAATAGGAGTAATGCTGAAATGCCTCTTAGAGCATGAGAAATTTGAGGGGGATAAAGGGTTGCAGTGGGTAGTTGGCAGTGTAATCCAGAGATGTGTGTGTAAAGCAAGGAGATATAAAACAACATTTTGCATTTCAGTTTTCTAGGTGAGCAAAGGTGGTGAGAAAATTGGAAATGAAAAATGTTAACACTCCGAAAGTAAGCAAGAACAAGTAAAGAAAGACACTATATGGTATGCTAAAGAGATGTGACTTTTTTTTTCCTCTAAAAGAGGAAGTGATTTGCTGTTAACTCAGAAAGTGATGTAATTAATTTTGTTTAGGAAAATATTTCTGGCAGATAGAAAAAGTGGTAGAGAACCAGTTTAGAGACTGAACACAGTAAGTCAGGTGAGGAACAGTGAGTACCTAGAGAAAGTCAATGAATAATAGAGAGTAGTGAATAATATTCCTCCAAGAAATATGAAGGAAATATGAAAGGGTTTGGTTCCTCTCAGAGGGGAGGGGGATGGAAGGGGATTAAGCAAAGGAAAAAAAGCCTCATAGACACAGAAAACAGTATGATGATTACCAGAGGCAAACAGGGGTGGGGGATAAATGGTGATGGAAGGAGACTTAAATTGGGGTGGTGAACACACAATACAATATACAGATGATGTGTTAAAGAATGTACACCTGAAACATTTTTATTAACCAACGTGACACCAATAAATTCAATAAAATTTTTAAAAAATTGGTACCAGATTTAGTTACTAGTGAGTAAGACCTGAGCATCTAGGATGAATTCCTGATTATTTTATGAAATAGAAAGATATTGGGAGAAATAAGTCAAAGCAAAGCTTTGGTGTAGGGAAAAAGTTTGAGATGAAGGTTGAATTGAAGTGTCTACAGGACAATGTTGAGTATATGCTTGGTAGTTTTAGTCAATGGTTGAAGTTTAGAAGATGGATAGGCCTCATTTAAGTATTTGCATCTGAGAATTACCAGCATAGAGTAAGATAAGCGATAGAGGTGAATGGTTAGTGTAGGCAGAGACTGTGGTCGAGTGCACCTGCAGAGTAAGAAGATTAAATGCCCACAGATCTCTAGTGAAAGGGTTAAATGTTACAGTGACATCATTAAAGATAGAGACTTAAACATGGCAATTGGTTTGGGAACTAATATTTAATTACAGTGGGGGAACAAATGGTAAACTATCTCTTTTAGAATATAGGTATTTTTACTCCACTGATATGCATGTAGAGAAATGAGAGGCAAGAATTTAGGGTGACCCCATAGGTTTCTGTCTTTGACAACAAAATGAACAAATGGATGTCCAAAGGGGGAAAAATGTGTGTATGTCATGTATAGCATAATATTTTTGGATGCATTAATTTATTTTGCAACTGAGAATATTATAAAAATATCATACTGTAGAGGAAATTTCACTTTTATTCGTCAGATGTAGTTATCTTCCACTGTGTGAAGCTGACTTTCCTTATCAAGACCAAAGTGAAATGGCTAAGCCTATTATGCTGTTTCTTTGATGTTTTTATAGGATATAATGAAAGATGAATGCTCAATGTTGAAGCTGCAGCTGAAGGAGAGAGATGAACTCATTTCCCAACTTCAGGAAGAGCTGGTAAGTAATAATATTGGCCCACAAGTGTGTTTTCTTTGTAAGGTTATTTCCTGTAGACCTTACAACAACGTATTTGTTAACACCAAAATTAATTATTTATAAATAGTGATTCAATCTGATTATTGATTTTAAAATCCTATGGCAATAAGGATTTGAAAATCTGAAAAATAGAGAGTATGTTTTATATTATGCATTGAACTTCATATAATTTTAGAAACAAAACTGAACCAGGGTTAGACATTTCAATTGAACCTATGAAAAATTGTGAAGGACAAGGCCACATTTCATTTTGTAAAGTGCATGATTTAAACCTGCTATGCCTAGAGATAAAAACAAAGTATAAAGCAAAATACCCAATCATCCTGTAAACCAAAACTGATTTTACTTTTATTTTCATAAAACTACCAAAAGTATATTAACCTGACGAGACTTAAGAAGTATTATATTATATAAATCCAAAGGGTAAATATTATACAAAACTATGAAATGTGTATGTTTTCATGGTGTTTTTAAAAATGTGACATCATAATAAATCATACTTTTTTAATATGAAAACACGTTATGTAGGTAGTAAATACTGGGCATTACTTTCTAAGCATGCTTTCGATTTATGATGATTTCAGATTTGACTGCATTAACAATGTATTATGTAATCGTTAAATATAATTAAATGCCAAAACAAATTTTATAGACCGTCAAGCCTCTGAGAACTCTTATCATGTTAGATGGCAGACAAATTTAGAGCATATTTTATTGACTCAACAACTGACAACATTTTTACCGAGACTTAAACTTTATTTAGACTCTTCTATGATTGACTTGATGCTGATTATTGGTCCTATGAACATAGTGTTATTGTTGATTTGAAATTTTTTGAATCTTGTATAAGTGACCCTGAGCAGTTCAAACCCATGTTGTTCAAGAGTCAGCTAGTAGTCAATTTGGGTATTTCAAATTTAAAGTAAAAAGATACACTTGTGCCTTATTTTTTACTAAATCAGCCAACAGAGGACTCTTTTGGAGGAAAGGGTACTAAATTAATTATAACTATGTAACATTGAATCAGGAAGTAATAATTTCTTATTTCACTCAATAAATGAAGGAGAAATATTTATTAAATATTAGAATATTAGTATTGCTAGGGCTGTAGGTGTGGTCGGGCAACAGCTGGAGAAAACCAGAAATGTTCTCTTCAGGCAGGGATTTTTGGTTTGGTAAACTTGAAGGGACAGGATCACACATGGGGTGTTTACTCCCAAGTCCTTTATAAGAGAACAAAATCTCCGCGGCCCCGCTGTGAGGTAATGTGAAGGGCACTGGCTAGTCATACTTACGTGACATGGGATATGTAAATGCTGTTTTTAATGTTGATAATAAATTATACCTTGTATTGGTCTTATAATAAAGTGTGTCAAAAAATGGAATAAGCCAAACAACATTTAAAATTATCTTATGAAGTTTAAGACCATTCTTGCCATCAAATGAAATCTTTAAAAGGTTTTTATTTTCCTCTCTCTTCTATAATTATGTGAATTTTGCTGAGCTTGTTGAGGACTTTTAGTGACTTCAGTTCTTTTAGCTGGTTTTCCTTTGAAACATTTTTCTTCTCTGTTATGAATTCTTATAGTGACTTATATTTGCAAACCCTTGATCACAGTATTATCCATTTTGATTTAATTTATATATAAAGCAAGATTTATTGCACATTACTGCTTTCTTTCCTCTTCATTACTTTCTTACTCCATTGCATGGTCTCTTCTGATACATTTATGGTTTGGTTAGAATCCTTTCCCAATTGTTTTCTTCAGATGGGGTGTTGATGATGTGGTCTCTAAATCTTTGAATATCTCTTAACCTTGAAAGATAAAGGATATACAACTATGGATTGAATTGTGTTCCCCCAAGTTCATAGGCTGAAGCCCTACTTCCCACTGTGACATTGGAGACCAGGCTTTTAGGAGGTAATTAGGGTTAAATAAAGTCATAATCACGGAGTCCCAATTTGATAGGATTAGTAAGAATATGAAAAGAGAGAAAACTCTTCTCTCCATTGCCAAGCACCAAGGAAAGGCGATGTGAGAACAGACAATGCAGCTGCCTATGAGCCAGGAAGTGAGTCCTTCACAGGACCCAGCCATGCTGCAGGGCTCACCTTGGACTTCTACACTCCAGAACTGTGAGAAAATTAACTTCGATTTTTTAAGCCATCCAGTCTATGGTATCTTGTTATGGCAGCCTGAGCTGACTGACAGATACTACATCAATGCATAATATCTTAAAGATTTGGTTCTTTTTTCTTAGTAAATAACATTCTATGCTTTTGAAATTTGGGTGCTGTACATCATATCTTTCCATGGTTAACCTAGGTGTGTACTATTTTTCTTCCTTAATTATGACTAGTATCAGTAATCTGATTCAGTCCATTCAAGTCTTCCTTCAAATTATAATTTTTTTCCTCAAGTCTTCCATCAAATTATAGAATATTTTTCTCCTGAAACCCTTATTTACATATTTGGTCTCATAGATCTATCCTTCAAGTCCCTTACATTTTTCTCTTAGTATGGAACTATTTTTCCTTTAGCTGAGATTTTGTCCCCTCATAGTCCAAGGCACTAATTTGATCCTCAGTTTGACTATACTTTTGCCCTGCCTGGTGTGGCTCAGTGGGTTGGGTGTCCTCCTGCAAGCCAGAAGTTTGCTGGTTCAATTCCCAGCCAGGGCACATGCCTGGACTGTGGGCCAGTTCCCTGGAAGGAGGAATGTATGAGGCAACTGGTTGATGTATTTTTCTCACATCTATGTTCTCTCCTCCTCCTTCTCCCCACCTTCCCCTCCCTCTGAAAATAAATTTTAAAAATCTTTAAAAAATTTAAAAAACAGTGACTGTATTTTATAGTTTAATAAATATTAAAATTCAGAAATTTTTTAAAACTAGAAAATAATTTTAATGTTTTAATTATATATTGTTAAATTTTGATGTTCTTAACTTGTCATTTCTGTGAGATGGCGTTTCTACTACACTTGAAGTGTCCTGTCCTTAATATTTTTCTTGCCCTTCCTTTCTAGGATCTTTGGTCCTCTTCAGATCATCAGTTACTTTCTTTTGCTTATTTTCTATATTCATTTTTGGTACTTGGGTAAAAAAATCTGGAAAATTTAAGTCAGAGATGGTCAAAGGCCCAATAGGATCTGCTTTTGTTGGCTGATAACAATGAATAAACTTGAAGGATATTAGTCATTGGCTTTCTTTTGTGATACCTTAAGTTGTCCCCAGTTCCAAATGTTAGACACCATTGGCCAGTCTGGGTGGCTGCTCTGCAGTGTTCCAGCCAAAAACACTCTGAAGATCTGGCTAGGATAACAAATTAGGAAATAATCACCCTTCTTGCAAGGGCAAATATGTTCACCAGCAGTTTTCTTTCCAGAACCTTGATTTCTCATTTTAATGGAGGCTTATTGTCTGCTTGTCCGCTGGCTCCAGTTAAGCCAGTTAAGCCCCAAGAAGAACAAGTTCTTGAGCCTACTATCTTCACTTCACAACCATCAGAACTTGAACTCTCCCACATGTGCCCATGAGCCTTGTCTCTCTGCTCTAGCCCCTGCCTCAGCTCATAAGAAGTTAGTGTCAGCTTGGGAAAGAATATGAGGGGGGGACCCCCAGAAAACAAAATTATCTTTTGGAGGACAGGCCCTTGGTAGTACAGGCTTCCCCTACCAGGTGAGTGCTCTAGGAACCCATTATCAGTGTACCAGCTGGTATTGTGAGAGGATGTGTTTGGCCTCAGTGAATTGTTTTTGAAGACTCTTTCAATGTGCTTGCCCATTTTACGAAGGGTCATTTACGAGTGCACCTTCCCACACCGTAATGAATGTTCAGCAGTTTTGGATGAAAAATGGCATGACCCATCCTCCCCATCCACCCAATCTCCCCTCCAGCGATTTTTTTGTTTGTTTGTTTGTTTCCTTGGATGAAAAACATCCTGAAAGGAAACTGTTTTGCCAATGTGGAAGAGGAGAAACAAGAAAAAATGGCAGACTCACTAAAAGGCCTCAAAATCAACAAGTCCAAAAACTGTTTTAAGTAGTGGAAAAATGTCTCAGTAGGTGTATTGCATTGAATGGAGATTACTTGGAAGCTAACTGAAGTTTAAACATGTAAGAATAAATATACTATTACTTATTTATTGTTCAACTACAGTTGTCCCCATTTCCCCCCCACCACTGCCCCCCCCACCTCCCACCCTCAGTCCTACCCAACCATTGGCTTTGCCCGTGGGTCCTTTACACGTGGTCCTTGACGACTCTTCCCCTTCTTTCCCCTGTTATCCCCGCCCCCCTCCCCCGGTTATTGTCAGTTTGTTCTTAAATAAATTCCTTTTTTTTTTTGGTCCCCCCTCATAGGGTCAGAAAGGTGTATTCAGGATACCATCCTCTTGTGAGACACTTTCTTTATGCACTCTCTGATGAGCAAATATGAAATGGAACTGTATTTTGCAATCTCCCCTCCATAATTTTTTTTAACAAGGGTTCAATGGCAGCCACCTTACATGAAGCCCCAAGGCTTACACCAGGTTTGAACTTTGATTTGGGTTAGAAGATTAAATAAGAAATAGAGCAAAGGAGGTATTTATTGCCTTCATTTTCTTGTGGCCTTATCTTTCTTTACTTGAAGAGGAGAATGAATCAATATAGTGACAAAAAAAAATCAAGATATGAGTTTTTAGACTAATTGCCTATGTGATTAGATTTAGCTTTCTTCTTGCCTCAGTTTCTTCAGTTGCTAAATAATATTACTAAAAATATGAAAATATTAAGTATTCATCAATAATGAATTTGGTAAATTATATATTTATACTGTATAGGAGGTCTGTCCAGGAGGTGCCCAGCCATGTAATATGAAAAATAGAGACATTTATTAAAGAAGATACAAGAAACATTGTACATAGGACAATGACTCCTCAGCCCCCTTCAAAGTAAGCGCCTTGGGACCTCACAGAGTT